TTGCTAGGCACACAGTCGTTGTTCGTTCTCAGCACATACTGCCAGTCACATCTTGCATTTCCAGCTATGACCAGCTATGCCCTGGGAAGACTTGACTTTTTAAAGCTTCCTTATCTGTCTTCCTTAACTCTAAAAATAAGCGGGAGAACAGATGAGCCCGAGATCGTACTGAGATGGTACCCGTGCGTAGTGTAGCTTTTCTATTTAGGGACGAGTAGAAAGAGGGTAATTTTGTGTTTGTTTTGGGAACTCCAAGCCAGTTTTTAGGGCCCTCGTCTGCTTTTTGAGAAGGAGGTACAGCTTGTCCAAGCATGGCTATGCTTGCGCCCCAGAGCGACCCGGACGGACACGTCACAGACCTCCTTGTGTGCGGAAGTCCTCAGTGTGCCATGGCTTCGTCTCATTCTTCCAGGTTCTTCAAGGATACAAACCCTTGGAAGCAGCTCACGGGACGCCTTTGGGACACATTCTCACATACAGATTATCAGCTAGGAAGACAGCTTGCGTGCTTCTTTTAAACAAAAATACCTCTTCTTTCTGGGGAGGAACAGTTACAGAGCAGAGGCTGTGCGTTCTTATTCTCTTGCCTTCAAACTTCAGTTGCTGGGAGATGTGGGACAAGCTGCTTACAGCCTTTGTGTGTGTGTGTGTGTGTGTGCGTGCGTGTGCGCGTGTACTTTCTCAGTTGTGAAATAATAATGACATTCCTTCACCATATACTCTTGTAAGAGAAAAAACAAGGCAGAATGCATCTCCGAGCCCTGGACCTAGAAAACACGACGCGGCTGATTCACAAGCAGTTGCTGAGTTCAGTCTGTTTTCCGAGCACGGGCCGTGCCTGGCTCACCCCGACTGTGGCAGGCTGTGCTTCTTTTTTGTTTCAAAAGGCGGGCGCCCTTGAGCAAGCGCTACCTACCCCAGAGGTGTGAACAGCTGGCTTGCGGGTGCTGCAGCGACTGCAGGAACCGAAGCTGCATTCGCGTTAGGAAATTAAAAACGCGTTCATCAGCGTGTCATCAATTTGCATATTGGAAGTAAAGTCATTGCAGACGTGCTACCCAGTTACCCAATTCCTAAATTTGATACAGGTTTTGGGTATGATGAGGCCACACTGTGTGCAGAAGTCTGTCGGGTGTCGTGAGGGGTTAGGGCATTAAGTAAACTTATAAAAGCACTGGTGACTTAATTAAATAGATTATTTCTTTAGAACTTGTACTTGCCAGCAAAGATGTTGAACATGGGGTGTGATCCCTTCAAAGTGGCTAGAGACCCACACAGTAACTGGGCTGCCTAGCAGGGGTCCAGAAGGGCCCCAGGTGCACATCGGGAATGGCTTAAAACTCTTCAGCATCTTTCCATCCGCAGCAGTTCCAACGTGGGTGGGGGTGTAGCTCAGCGGTAGAGCGTGTGCTGAGCATGTGCGAGGTCCTGGGTTCAGTCTCCAGTACCTCTGTGTCAAAAAAAAAAAACCCTCAGGAAATCAGTTCCAGCAGGGTAGGTTTAGGTGCACTGTGAATTACGAAATGCTTTTGCAACACCATTCGTCCCTCTCGACGAAAGCACTGATGATTTAGGCTGGTTCAGAGAACGGTCCGTTTAACTTCCAGAAGGTCCGTTTAACTTCCAGAACTCAGCGTTGGCCGTTGAGCATTCATTATGGGACACCTGCTCCGTAGGAGAAGGTGGGCAGGATGGCGGAAGGCAGAGTTGGCTTGGCGTTGGAAAGATGTAGACGTGAGTGGTTGACGAAGCAAGATGCTGTCAAGACACTTGAGTGTGTCCAGTGTCAACTACTTCTGTATGTATATTCCGGAGAGGGTCCTCTTCTGAAGGTGCTTGCATTCATATACATCTCATACAGAGAGGGAAGAGCAGAATTCAATTTAAAAAAAGAAAAGAAAATGCAGGTGGTTCTCTGGTGCTTTTCTTCATTCAAGGACGTAGCACTTCAGTGTGCTGGTCTGTAGAAGGTCATCGTGCGTTACCTGTAGAGGCTTCTCTTCCCCTGAATCAGAGATTCGATATTAGGTGTCCTTTGGTGGTGGTTCCTGAATTCTCAAATGGCCTCGTGCAATCGTAGGTGGACCCTAGTCAGAACGGTGGCCGACGTGCTTATTTGGCTCTGGGATTTTTTTTTCCCCTCGCAGGAATGCTGAGACACCTTTCCTGCTGGTCCTGTCTTACCTGCAAGTGCACACGGCTCTCTTCTCCAGCGAGGACTTTGCCGGCAAAAGTAAACACGGCGCTTACGGGGACGCTGCGGAGGAGATGGATTGGAGTGTGGGTATGTGGACCTCTGTCTTCAGTCTGCCCTTCAAATGCGGTTCAGTCTTTTGTTGCTTCTAGTTGACTTCCGTTGAGTTTCCAGCCGTGTCCCTGACGCCTTCAGAGACAGCATGTGTTTTTTTTTTTTTGTTCTTTGTTTTGTCTTTTCAAAAAGGGTAACCAAACAAACACTAATAATGAAAGGTAAACAGAGTGTAGAAAGCATCTCAGCCCCGAGTGCGTGATTTGCAGTTGCCAACGGATACGGCACCAGGGGGAGTCTGTGTCTTGGGGGTGGGGGCTGGTGATGGAAGAGATTAATGAAGAAAGGGAATTAAAGCGTTAATCCTTCTCATAGCTTTATTCTTTTAGCAATTAAATATGAGCAATCCCTTGCCTTTCGCAAAGCTAGGTCCATGGTGGATTTGGGGTACAGAGGCTCTCAGTGCCATAGCCACGGGGTCCTCCAAGGCTGCTGTTAGCTCACACCATGCCTGCTTCTCCTGGACCTTGTGTTCTTCTTGCTGCAACGACCACCTCGTTCCCTGCGTCCCTTCTCCTTTTCCTAAGAGGTTACCCTGTTTCTGAGAAATGGTGGCATTTTTTTTCAGAGGTGCCAGAAGGACGTCTTTTTTAGGGTTTTCCCTTTAAAATTGTGTCTCGCACATCTACATGAGATGGTGGAGACCTGCATTCTTCCGCACAGCTGAGCCGTCTCGGGTCTGTTCCAGGATGTGGGTGTAGCCAGAGTACGTGGGTTCAGCACAGGGAGGCCAGATCAGTGGGCTCTGTACTTCTCACTCGGTTCCTGTCTTGTACTGTGTCTCTCACGGTAACATTGCTCGGTCTGGCCGGGAAAAATTGGACAAAATTGGACAAAATTGAGCAAATGGCACCGTCAACCAGGTTGCTTAAGATTTTTCTCTATTTCCTTTTTTCCGTGTCTCGTTCCTACTTCCTTTTCTTCTTGTCCACTGATTGGACAGTTTTGGAATCTAGATGTTTTAGAGATACTTGAGCATGGCCACAGAGTTCTCCTGTTGGTTTGTTTTAAGCAGCATACTGCATTTCGTGAGGGCCACCAACTGTGTTGATTACAAGAGCAAGCGTTGTTTTGTTTCGTCTCCATCTCGGTGGGAGCACGGTCTTCCGGACAAGATGGCTGCACCGCTATTCAAGGTTCTAGCTCTTGCTTTAACGATCTCTGTGAACTTGAAAGGTGTCTTCGATCTCTGGGCCTGGTGGAGAATTCAGACGAGGCAAGTTCTCAGTGTCTTTCTTCCCTAACGATCTCTGTGATGTTAGTGGATAACAGAAGTGAGTACAAATGATGGATACGTACTAGGAAAAACAAAACAGAACACCCCCCCTAATGAGATTCGTAAGGAGAACGCATTATGCTCGGAGCTTTGACAGACACCAGTACAAGCCTGCCTGAGTCATCTTTCCTTCTGAGAACGTCGCATGGAAATTAGTTCACGTCGTCCACACCTTGGTACTGTGAACCAGTAGACTATTCCGCAGTGTGAATCCATAGCATATTTTATCTCTTTAATGAGTGTTACATGTTAATGTAACAGGTTTTGTCTGCGGCTCTCCAACGTTTGTTGGCTACGGAGCGAGCTCAGGCTGCTTGCATTGCACTGACTGATGAAGTTTTATTTAATTAGAGCAGCTCATATGCCTACCCTGACTCCTTAAAAAGTCTGACTTCCAATGCTTTCCTGCTACTGGTGCGTCTAATCTTTGAGATCTGCGTTAGCCCCTGATATCATACTACTAGAGAATTGTGTTGTTTCTTTTTCGCCAAAAAATGAAATCTTTCCCTTAAGCCGTCCCGTTTATTTCTCAGGGTGTCTGTTGTTTTACAAATCCAGTACCTCTGAGCAGCTTGAGGAATATTCTTTCTTTCCAGGAATATTCTTTCTTTCAGTATCCCAGAGAAGGAGACTAGCGTTTTGAATAATCATGTCATAAAATAACATGGGGATATTGGCTTAAAAAGGAATGCACCCAGCACCGGGAGCCGCTGAGAGAGAAGCAGTCAGCTAGAGAGGGCAGATCTCTGTCCCTGAGAGCATTTCCTTTCAGAATGCCTGGAGGCAGCGTCTTTCTACGGAGCATAACTTTCTCCTCTGCAGGTTTCTCTGTCCCGGTAAAGCCGTGTTCCTAAAAACCACCTTTGTTATTGAATTGTCCTCCACGGCCAGCCCCACCCCCGCCCCACATCCTGGTGCCGCAGCGTCTTGTTCTTAGTGGCACGATCGTTCTAGCTTGCGTTATAATAACACCGGAAGAACTGGCCACACAGCTGTGGTGTGAGGGCTATGCCAGGGCTGTCGTGGTGGCTGCAGACCTGGAGCTTGAACACCACCGTGCAATTCAAGGGGTGGGCCCGTTCTAGTCGTCACAGCTACCGTCTGCTGAGCGCATGTTCCCCGCACCTGGCCCGGGACTTCCCGGGCATCCCCTCCCTTTGTGCTGGCGACAGTCGGGGCATCACTCCTGTTCTGTGGGTGAGGCAGGGGGAGGCTTGCAGAAGGCTGAGTGCACCTGCCTCAGGTCACACAATGCATGAGCAGTTGGCCCCCATCCGAATGCAGTCGCCTGAAGTCTGGTCCACCTCCCTCCATGGCTTTCCAGGTAACCGGAAAGGCCACATCGGTGTAGTGTCATAGTGCACACAGTCAACAATAAATCACAGGGGAAGAGCTGGTTCCTTCGTTCATCACCTTTATTAGATGCCCACTCTGTGCCTCTTTATTTTTTTTAATTTTTGGATACAGAAATTAAAATGCAATGACGGTAAAACCCTGGCTTAAGAGAATTGAGGCGCTGCTAAGGTGTTTAAGATTCTTCCAGGCGATCTCATAAGAACCCAGAGCAGAAGGGAACGAATGGCTGAGGTGCACATAATTCTTGAGCGGTTTGAAAAGGGAAAGGTCCCTGTATATGGCCGATGGCCTCCCTCATCATTGCAGCAGGACACACTTACAAGTGAAGCCTTTGGGCAGTCGTGGCACTATTGCAAGTCTGATTTTCAACCTCAATTAATTCCCAAGCTGCAGAGCTTTAGGGGAGGAAGAGCGGGTGGGTGAAATCGTGGTGTTCTCAAATGCACACCAGTTATTTTGGGTGGGAGCCATTCTAGCTGTTTTCCTTCGTTCGGAAATGCAGTGACATTTACCTGAGACCTGTGAATGGGTGGTGGGAGGGGACAGAGGGAGCAGGTGGAGGGATGGGAGGCTTGGAGGCGGTCCCAGCCAGTGCTTTCTTGTCTGTGCCACATCCGTTTGCAGCGCTCACGGCTCCAGAGTGTCAGGTGGCATTTGCCTGTGTTAGCTTTTATTAAGAACCCCGTGCTATTCATAGAACCACGTGAAGGAATCTAAAACCAGCACCTGCTTGGGATGAGACTAGCAAATTCTCTCTCCTACAAAGAGGAATGCAAGTCGAGAATACAATGAAGCAATTGTGAAAATAAATCTCTGGCTTCAAATCAAACCTTCCAATTAAAAAAACAAACCTCTGTCACTTCTGAGGGTTGGGACCCAGTGACTAATGTGAGATTCTTTCCAATGAAAACAGTGAGTCTCTTTTTTAATCTGGAAGAAGCACCAGCCATCCTACTGGGACCCCAGAATCCCTCAGGAGTTTGGTTGAGTTGCTCAGGACCTGTGATGTGGCACCCCCTACTGGCTGTGTCTGGTAGGGCAACCTCAGTTTCTCCCGGTGTCTCTCCCCTTGGAGGGGCACTGGACGGTGCCACCTTCTGTGGGCGCAGAAATGAAGCAGAGAACCCACCAGAAGGAAAAAGTCATGGATGAATTCATGAAAGACGAGCTGGGGGGTGCAGAATGAACCCCTCTTTTCTGTGCCTGACGTATAGTCAAGACATGGGTCAAGATCGTGTGTGACTACCTGTCAAATGTGTCTTGAGGAGCGGAGAGTAAATTGGAGGTCCTCATTTAGCAAGAGGTCAGGATAGTTGCACAAGCCTCGGGAACCACAAGGAAACTCTGAAGATCAGGAGCCTTGGGGGTCAGTCCAAGTCCCTCAAACATACAGCATAATTCTAACCAGGGTTTGGCTTTTTGGATGTGGGTCCAAGGGATGGTCTGTTTAAAAGTGGACTCTTTCTAAGAGTCGTGGAGTAAGTAAAATCATTGTCAGAGCCTGCAATGCAGTGGACATTGAGTAACTGCTCGGTGATAGGTTTATTTACCCTGACAAAGGGGCTCTGGCTGAGTGTACGTAGAAGACATTTACTTTAGGGTGCTACAGACCAGGCCCACAGCGGGTGCCCAGTTAAGTAATTTTTGAAGATGGCGTCAGGAAGGGCAGATGCCTGTTGGTTGCAAGGCCCTGTCCAAGGTGCTGAAATGACTAGGCGAGCTTAGCTTTCTCTTGCACATGTGGATACCAGTCCAACGGTGGGAGTGGATAGGCATGCTTTGCAAGAATATTAAAAACCATTTGAGTGGGCAAGGAATAGCTCAGTGGTAGAGTGCATGCTTAGCATGCATGAGGTCCTGGGTTCAATCTCTTGTACCTCCATTTCATAAATAACAATTATAGCTAATTACCCCCATACACACAGAAAGAAATAAATAAAGCAACAAAACAAACAAAAACAGTGGGGGAGGGTATAGCTCAGGTGGTAGAGCACATGCTTAGCATACACAGGGCCCTAGGTTCAATCTCCAGTGCCCTCTCTAAACATAAATAAGTAAGTAAGCTTAATTACCTCCCACTCAAAATACAGTAAATAAATAAAAATTCAGAAAACAAAACAAAAACAAACAGTTGAGCACCTTGTGACTCAAGGTTTATCTCCGTCTAAATCCAGGACAAAAGTTTACAAATCCACCTCCGGGTTCCTACTTCTCGAAAACTAGCATTTCGGGGCCAACCAAAGCAGTGCTGGGTATTTTGTCCTCCTTCTGTTCTGTAGAGAATGTCATCTGAGCTGTAAGGCTGTGTCTTTTTTTTAACATTTTTTATTGATTTATAATCATT